GCTCTGAAGTCAGAGCACAAAAACCTTTTTGTAACAAAATATCGATTTCTGCTGTCCCTGTATCCATACATTATTAGCAAACAAAATATCACCATACTACACAGTATCGAGTACCCCTACAGTTTATGCACCACAGCAGAACCAGGTGTGATGCATCCTCACAAAGTCTGCTCAACAATTCATCAGAGCTCACATATGCAGACATAAATAAACAGGATTTTATTCAGATTAAGTACCTGAAGTCCAGGAAGTCTTTGGAAAAAACTGAAGGATGTGATCGAAGCACAAGTTGAGGTTGTGGAAAAAACAGACTTTTCAATAGTTTCCAATTAAATTCAATAGTTTCTATTTTCCAATTAAAGCACCTGACAGCAGCCAGAATAACAGCTCCAGTTCTACAGTTCACGCTGTTACGTGTGCTCTTATCACAATTATCAAAAGTAAAAGTACGAAGGAGAACAGAAGGTCTTGTTTTCCCGGACGTCGTGTATTCATGTGGGGTTTTTATTACAGCCAGACTCTGAGCAGAGATCCAGAGCTGCTGTCATGTGTTTAATGACTTCTTACTGTCTGAATGCAGAGCTCAAATTAATACTTTCCCTCAGCTTTGTAATTGGTTTGACTCCGTTTGAACCAAATTACACAACATAATTATCTTTTTTCCTTTACCGAGGCCAGTCTGTTTGAAGATTATAGCCTCGGTGGCCTGCGCCTGACTTACAGACTAATGGAGATGGAAATGAGCAGACGCCGACGACCGTTTGTGTCAATCCTTTTATTCATTTTCAGTTCCTCTTTCTGAGGTCTCTTCCAATTCGACTCATTGTTTCCTGTCTCGTTTGTTCTGTTCAGGAGAAATGATTTTTACTGACCTATACACTCACCAGCATGTCACCTAAAGTTTAAAACTAGTCATTTTAGAGTCAGTAATGGGTGAAGGGCTTTCTCTACAACTTGTTTTATTTTTTAGAAAAGACTGAAGTGATGTCAGTGTTTCCTGTTGAAGTTTAACAGGGTCCAGTTATATATTTTTTTATTTCCTGGCAAGTTGCTGTGTTTAACTGAATCCAGTGGTTCTACACAAACTTGCACTAACAGCAGCACAGCATTATAGACCCCGTCCACCTCTGGCAGCCATTACAGCGTTTCCCAAAAACAAACCCTGAATCTCAATTAGAAAACGTGCAGCATTTTCTAAAGAAAACCCAGACGTGGCTGAGGACACATTCAGCGACGTATTCACAGATTTTAGCTGGAAGGACCAACACGTGCTATTTCTGACAGACCGACAGAAAAGTCACGATCAAGAATGAGAAGAATTAATTTATGTGAGGACACATTTCTCTGACAGAAACACGATCACGACTCGAAAGCGAGTGAAGTGGCTCGCTAATGATGACGACGTGCCCGCACATTATCCCTGGTTTGAAATTCGATTTAGTGCAAGAAGTCAGAGAGCTAACTTATTCAATGCCCAGGAAACACGCCGCATGTAGGTCAAGACAAACAATGCAATGGTTGCATCAACTCAGACGTCCATAAAGCTGTACGGTGCATCAGATTAGTGCAGGAAAGTCGCGCAACATGAAAGTGAAATGAAAATATTTTTATCATGAAAATCAGTGAAGCCATAGTCAGAGTCAGCAACTCGTGGGGCTGAGAGGATAATTCCAGAAGGACAGTTCCCGGCTTTCTCCAAAACTGAGTCCATCTTTATACAAGTGCTAGACCTGTGATTAGAGCAGTGGTTCTCAAAGTGTGTGGAGTTCTGACAGGTGAACTTGCGCCCCAAAACAGATTTCCAAAAGCACAGGGGAAGTGTTTCTGGGGAGACAATAACCCGACGGACCAGTTGCAGGAACCAAAACATGCTAGGTAAGTGTGATAGGCTAATAGTTAGGCTAACACACTTACCTCACAAAACCGATAGATCCTCCACTTCTTTTAAGTGTCTCTCAGCGCAATTCTTAGCATATTTTGGTTCCTACAACTGGTCCATCGGGTTATTGTCTCCCCAGAAACACTTCCCTTGTGCTTTGGGAAATCTGTTTTTTCCTATTTCCGTTGTGTTTTTCTTATTGCTGGTGTTTTCTTAAGTTGCAATCCGTTTGGCCTTGAAGGGCCACCGTAGTTTATTATTGAAATAAAGTTGCAGCTCGGCTTTTCTGTCATTGTTTCGTTTAGAAAATGAAAATATTTCTTCCTGCCATGTGGGGAATGGTGTAAAAAGTTTGAGAACCACTGGATTAAAGGAACATTGCATGTTTGCTGTGGCCCGCTGAGCAGAATGGGCAGTGAAATACAGAACTACATCATCTGCATAGAAACGTACAAAACAGTGAGATACAAATTTGACTATTTTATGTTCCAGTGAGAAATGTGAACACTGCATGAATGCTTTAATTTTTGCACCCAGGTTTAAGAAGTACATGTGGCTCAGGGTTTTAATAGTTTTGCAATTTTCATTAGTTTTTATTTTTATTTAGTTTTGACTTCAAATTTTCAATTTTATATCAGTTTTAATTAGTTTTTACCAATTGTTTGCTAGTTTAGTTTAGTTTTTATTTTTTT